TAGGTGACGTGAAACGTAGTCATGCATTCTAGGGAGAATGATTTTTTTTATGTTTTTGGTGTTGACTAGTTTAAAAGGTACTGTCGTACATTATTTACTTTCTGTTCACGCCATAGGTAGACGTCTTTTCACTTAACCTGCTTGAGCCCTTACGTCACTCATTTGCGACAAGATGGATGTCCTTAATGTGATCTGCAGCAATTTAATGCTTTCCTTATTAAACTAACAGCTTAGAAAGTTGTCAAAGTAATTCTTAAATTGTCGGAAGTGGTTGACGTGGCAGATATTTATTTTACTTGACAGATTTACAAGCAAATCGTGATTGAGATCATGAGTGAATGAATGTTTATAGACAAGTTAGACAATATCAATTATTTTTAACACCTCAACACGAAATAACAGAATACTTTGTTGAACTTCTTAAAGATCTTTGGCAAAGAATTTGTAAATTGAGCTGTAAGCAAATTTTTGTTTGCAATTTCATTGTTTCAACCTACTTTTTATATTAGGTGAAAGGCGTCTCAAATGTCTTTTTTTAGCTACATTGACAAACCAAAACTGATCAAGTCCAAACCACTAAAATAGATGTCACGTACTTCTGTTTTTTTGATTTTCTAGGTATGTCAAGATACCTAAGCGTTTCTGTACGTGTTTACAAAGAGCTACATCCAAGCTGATGTAATTTTAATGTTTCCCAAGACTTTATTAGTGAACTTTGGGTAGCATTTTCACTCTTCCAACCTACATTTATCCCCCACCAGAGGCTTCAAAACTACTGTGATAACTGACAAAGTGAAGTCTTCTGTACTGTTACACTGAAGTACCAAATAAACTTACATATCTGGCTATCCGCTTCTCATTGAGACTATTGATAATCATCTTCCGTCTCTCCTCCCTTATACGTTTCCGTTTTTGTGCCTTCCAGTCCGCCACGATCTTGCGATTGGCCTCAACTTTTGCCATCTTCACTTTCCACTTTGCAAGTAGTGCAGGCAGAAGACGAGGTACTAGATCCTCCACCTCCGCATTCAACACTATCGCGAAGTCAACAAGCAAATTCGCCTCCAACATGTAGGTCACGTCACCAGCAGAACGTGGAAATGACTCTAGAATGAAGCCCTTGGAGCGGTAGGGTTCTTCCTGCCACAGTCTTGGCAGGAGAAGGTTTAAAGAGGTCTCTGGAAGAGCCTCATCATTTTCCAGGAACTTGCGTACTGCTAGTTCGTGAGGAGTGAGGTTGTCTTTTGGAGAGGAAGCTTCACCTTCATCCGTAACTTCGGCTGAAGTTGGAGGAGCTGTGGCTGCTTCCTCTTCTGTTACCTGAACAGCTGCTTTGGGATTTTCTAACTGCCATAGTACTTTTGCAACAGCTTCTTCGAGACTACGTAAAGTAACAAATCAGTGATGCTGCGTAGTTTGCATGTTAGACATCCCGTTGAATGGGAGGGAAAGAGGGATGGAGATACTGATTTCTCCCTATCCCCCGTACTCTTCAAACCTTGACTACCACCTAACCCATAACAGTAAAATAAAGGAAAATGACAGGACAGAGGAAAACTGAATGTCGCTTACTTTGGCATGACCTTCACTGGTATCTCCTTATCATCTTCGTATTCAGGACCGATTCTGTGTTTCAGTTTTTGCATCATCACGTCCTGAAGCATTTGGTCAAAGCTCACATGAATAAGATCCAATTGACTTGCAATTTGCCTTCCATGAAGTGTTTTTCCCGTTCCTGGTGGACCCAGTAATGCAATTCTTAATGGAGGTGGCTAAAGTGAATGCCAGCGTTATACAAAATCCCTTCTAAAATTCCACACTCTCATTGTATTGAATAACTGCTAAACTCACCTTCAAGGGAGGCTGATAACCACGACTCACATATTTTTCAGGATTGGCCATAAATTTGGCCATATCCTTCTCACTACCGAGGTAGTAAGAGAGACCTTTGTAGGTGGCCACAAGCTCGGAATCACCGGGTTTTAAGACATGATAATCGTGGTAGGCAACCGGGCAAAAGTAGCTCGTCTGGCCAAGTTTTCTATTCGGGCCCCTACTCAGATCTTCCTCGGCTTCCTTTTCCTCTTTTTCTTCTTCGCTTTCCTGGAGAGAGAAAAATGTAGAGGAAGTTTGGTGGTTGTCGAACTAAGTAATCTGAGTCGTGGTTGCTACAAGCTAGCAACAGGGCAGTCATTACCGTGAACACTAAGTCCCCTTACAATCAGGCACCTAGACGTACTTCCGTAGCTCCTTCCCTTTCCTCTTCTCCCTCCCCCTCTTCTTCTTCTTCTTCTTCCTCTTCTTCTTCTTCTTCTTCTTCTTCTTCTTCCTCCATTTCTGCCTCATCAGCTTCTTCTAGGGCTAAGTTGCCCTCCAGACCACCAGTTTCCTCAAATCCTTCGGTTTCCGCTTCGATCTCCTCATCCAGCATCTCCTGGGAGGACTCTTTTGCAGTAAACGCAAATAGTTCTAGGAATAGTGTGCGAGAATAGGGTAAGAATGAGATTCAGTGGTCTGAATCTGATGTCGCAAATACGTGACACATGCACTTTGTCACTTGAATATAAAAAAAGTAAAATGATTCGTATCAAGCAATAGAATGCACAGAAATCATACAAAATAGAGGTTACATTAAGTGATTGTGATCTTCCTTTCTATCTAGCGGTTGCCTACCGATATGACGGTCAACATAGAAAAGCAGACATTTGAAGTGTAAAACTTGGGCTATTTACTGTTCTAGATTTTACTTCACATTCTTCATGATGACTCTCCAACCGTGTCTACAGAATTCCAGCCCCTTATTCCATGCTTTTATGGCATGCTTTGACATTAAGGAGGAATCAAAAATTACGCTCATATCCCACCCACTGATTGGCTAAAATCAAGTATAGGTGGGTCTTAAAGACCGCTACAAGGCCATGACCAATCATACTACTATCAGTAGACGAGAATGGGATCATCTAGTGTTTCCGGTACTCACGCAGAAGTCATATATCCAAACCTCCCAGATCGGTAATAAAGCCATCCCTGTTAATTTTTCTATCATTTAGGTCATTCTGGTTAAGCACTCGACAAGATTTAATTTAGCCACGCTTAGCGCATCTCAGTCATTCTTCTTTTTTGAACTTAAGGCTGTTTCCTTGAGTTCTGCAATTAGAAGGTAACTACTAACTTTCGAATTCGTTGTTTACTTCCTCCAGAAGATTGTCTAACGTCTTGTCCTTATGAATACTCAAATCCTGGACATGTACGGGAAATCCGTAAGCTGTAGTCGATTGTGAAAGGCCCTGTTTTGATGCCGCCCAAGCTTTGTCGAACTGAATCAACTGATCTCGCACACAGTCCACTTCTGGACCGGGTTGAGGCATGGGGTAGAAAGTCTGTCCTGAAGTTGGCGGATCCTCCGGAGGCTCTGTCATTGCATCGTCATCGTCATGAAACAAACCGCTCTTATCCTTACTAAGTTCCCTTTCTGAGGTCTCCGTAGTTACCATGGGTTCTATGGCACTCTCGTCCATGCCTTCAGCCTTGGACATAGTTGGCAGCTCTAGGGATATTAAAAGTTGAAGAGCTGCACATTTTTTGTAGTAGCGATTTACAGTAAGGCTAATAGAAGTAAAAAGACCAATTTCTTTAGATTGAATGGGCCATTACTTCCATTATTAACCTATTTTAATTCCAAAACTGTATTTTTAATTGCTCAAGGAGGAATAAAGTAAGTGATAGCGAAATATGTGTTTATAAAGTTTACGAGACTTTTAGCATCCATACTGCTTAATTTAATGATCAGTAGCAATAAACAAATTTCGTTATAAGTTCCCTTTGTCCGAGTCCTTGCAGTATAGTAGTAGAAAATAATAAGGTTAGCGGTAGATCTACAAAAACCAAGAAATTGGATCAGATTTGACTAGTGAAGTTTCAGAATTAATGTCCTGAAAGACGGTTCAAATGCTTCACCTTCTAGAGGGCCAAATCCGACAGCGTAGAGACGATGGATCATAAGTGCATAATCCGGGAGGTCATCCCTCAGCTTGAACACATAAGAGGGCATAGGATCCAATGGAATAACCCTGGAAGCTGCTTCATCAGCTACCTCTCGAGCTTTTACCAGGCGAGGATCCAGCTTCTTTGCGTAGGGATTAGCTGATTCTTCACGTTTTAGGGATTTTTTTGCCGTCTCATCATCACCTCCACCAGCCTCGCCTTCCATCATGGCCTCCTCCTCTTCTTCCTTGACTTTTTTATTGAGCTCGCGTCTTTGCATTGCGCTTTCAAGCTTGTGGACAGTCTCGAAGGCTTGACGCACGTAGCTAATTTCTTTAGCAACTGATCGGGAGCGTTTTTTTAATTCTTGCCATACCTCTTCCAGTGGGGGTAGACCCTCAATCACCCAGCTAAGTGGTCTGCGTAAAATTTTAAGAAAGTGCTGCTTTACAAATATATATTTACAAGATCTCCTCAGGGTAGCCAACAGTACTTACTTCCGTTTAGACGATATGACATTGCGATTTTTATGATTTAGTCTTGCCAACTCTTCCACCAGTGTATCCACATAGCGTTTAGGATTAAGATAATTTGGTTGAGCTTTGGCAAATCGTAAAGCCCTGGTCACTGCTTCAACGACTTGTGGATGCCCTGGGGTAAGTACTTCTTTTAAACCTGTGGGAAAGTAAATAGTGCTTGAGTGATAGAATGTCTCTACCATTCAAGTAATGAAGGAATGCAAATTTCAAATAATGGGGAACAAATTTGGCACATAATTATGGTTTCCATCTGCCATGCTCAATGGTGTTTAAGGACATGACTAATCACTCAAGTGGAAGACTGTGATAGAAAACATAGGATCTCGGACCTTTACGAAACTAATCCATAAAGCAATACTACCTCCTCCTCTTCCTCACCCTTCATGTTCCACTTGAATTTCTTCAACTTGCGACTAACACCTTGCTTTGACATCATATAGTGGCATTACCTCATGTCAAGGAGAATAAATGGAAGTGGAAAAAAAGACTGCCAGGGCTGATAAAATTGGTTTCTTGAACTGTTGTCTGTTTAGTCACAATGGTAGTGTGGTCAAGATTAATCACACCACCGGTTGCTAGCATAACTCTTCTGAAGTCTCTACAATCTCTTAGACCCCTCTTGATGGTAATGAAAAAGGTCCACATATGGAATAGGTCAAATTCAATGTCAAGGAAGAATAAAAAGTCCACAATGACATCTGTTGTGGAGCACTAAATCTCCTGAGCCGAGCCTCAGGAGGCTTAAAACGAGTCGCAACGAGTCAAAGTCAGTCGCAATGAAAGGTCTACGCATTTCCCTAGAAGAAATTTGAGGTGGGAAAGGGAAGAGAATTAGCCCGTTTTAAGACACCGGCTAGGCTTTGGTGGTGCATTCTAAAAGGATTCTTTTCCAATTCAGCTCGCCCTGCTGACGATGAAGAATTCATAAGTCCGCATACTATGTCTTCTCTCGTCATCATAGAGGTTCTGGAGCGCTGTAGTTACTTTAACACAAAAACAAAGTAGCTCAGAAGCTCATTCACTTACTGCGGATAGTGCCGAAAATTTGAAAAAGCTTATTCTGCCAAGCCTTTCCTATACCCCAATGATCTCGGTTTGATTTGTACACAGCCATGTTTTCTCTCAGACTCGTATTCTTTGTAATTTGTTTAAATTTCACAACAAAAATGAAACAAACATGCAAAAAGAAACATAACGTTGATTTACGGTTAGGAACAACCAATGAAATTTTAGGTAGAGGTAGAAGTGGATACCACACTGGAATGATGAACAATAAAAGGGAAATCAGATTCCACAAAAATGATAGTCATTATCTTGCTGGTTTTTTCAACCTTGCTAAACGATAACATTAAGATATTTTCATGCCACCTGAGCTTCCACCCTAGTAGGGTTTTCGTAGGCACATAAGTCTATTTCAGGTTGATGTTTCCCGCACCCTCATAAAGAAACTACGAGGAATGGCGATGCATCGCCCTTCCTTCCCTATTCAGCCTTAAAGTAGACAGCTGTCAACCAAGTGGAATGAGATTTCGTCTTATGTTGGTAATGTGATGGTTTACTTAACTACATACTGAACTGCGCAGACACTTTAGTTCCCGCTGGTTGTGCCCTTGCTCCACAACACGGCCGTCGGCTAAGCCTTCTGGCAGGAGATTGACGTTCACAGCGATCTTTGAGTTAGTCATCATCAAAAGGTAACGGTACATTATTCTGCTCTAACCCCTCCAAATGCTGCACACTATCTTTTACATAACAATATCCAGTTTTGTGCAATTGACAGCCAGTAATAGAAGAGGTCAGGGCCACAGGAATACTATAAGGGGTCATATCTATGCTTTGTGGTGCGGGTTTTAAATAACCGCTTATTTACGGCTGGTGGCCAGAAGTCCCAGCAAGTCAGTGGAGCAAGCTGCACCGACAAACATACAGATTTTATCCCACTGTTGAAGACAGATTCCACACACGATTATCTGACCCCTCCGGTTTCACAATTTAATGTTCAAGCTTTGTTAGTGCCTCCCACACAAATGATGCCTCAAGCCTTTTGCATGCCGACAGCAAAACCACTTCTAGGTGTGTGCGCCTTATGACCACTTTTGGTGTAGCTTTTCCTATTCATCCTCATTCTCTAGTTGACCTAACTTACCAGTGAATTTTTACAATGTCATGTTATATGCTTTACGATAAGTAAAGGCGCTCTTGCATTGAATAATGTTATTGAACTGCTAAAGATCCTACTTCAGATATCTGATCCATAAGACGCTTTTTACAAGGAAGTTTGCTTACAAAAGTTGCCTAAACTTACTTGGGATTTTGTTAGGACCCATATTAACTGGAAAAAAAGGAAAAATAATGGGCAAATTAAAATTTTTCGAGTTGCCAGTTTATACAAAGGAATTCCTATTTCTCTCATGTCATTTCAACAAGCCTTTGTAGCTTTAAGTCCAAAATTTAATTTAAATAATGTTAGTTTGTTTTCGTACTACTTTCGAACCAAACATGCACCTAGTAAGGGTTTTACTCAAGTTGGACGGAGGCCAGAAGTAATTTAATGTCACCCTAATCATGTTGACCATTCGCAACATTTTAGTGGCTGCCTCTGCCGCCGTGTAATCTCAGTGACCTTTTAGTTGAGGAGCTATTAAAAGCATGTATAATATTAAAGGCCATTTTCGTTAAAAATAAATCGATAACTTTCTATTATGGAAATAGACAAAAATGACGGCTAAGATCTCGTTTATTACATCCGGTGAAGTTGTATTTGGATGTGTTCGGCAAGCTCTCTTAATAGCTCCTCCATAAAATTTAATTACAGGTTGATTTCAATATCATAAAATTTTAGGCTTTAAAAAGTACAAGTCGTTGATAGTTTATCGGGTTACTCTATTAGGCGAATTTCCTAAACGCGTTTGTATACCTGGATTTTCTTTTCTAGAATAGAAATAAACCATTTGGGACAAAAATATTACCATCTCCACGAAAAGAAAATAATTTAGTCTTTCACAAACTACCAGTTATTTAAGCGTTCAGTTTTAGAAAATTACGTTGGGAAATAGTGAAGCCTTTAGGTTTTCTCGAAAGTAAGCAAATAAACAAACTCATTTGTACTTAAACTTTAGTAAAGGCAAAGAAACTAAAAATTGTTAGAAAAATAACCAAGATAAAAATTTTATTCTGAATGTTTCAATAATTCTCAAGGTAAAATCAGCAGTCGACTACAACAATGAGAATAACTTGAGCAAACATTATTTACGAGGCTAAAAAATTATCCGTTATTGTGTTCCCATGTAATTTTACAAGGTTGGATTCAAAACCCATTGTACTTTTAGGCATCGCATTGAAGTTGTAAAATAATTTCATGCACTCTTATTCTAATCCATTAAGTTTATCAGCATATTAGAATATTTAAGGCGTTCCTACCCCTTTTTGCCGGCATGAAATACAGTACTTAGACATCCATAAAGTGATTGACGAGATTTTGATTTGGCATCTTAGAGGAACCAAATGTCACGAAGTTACAAAAATGCAGAAAAATCTTGTCAAATTTGCTATATTCTTCTAGTGTAGGTTAGGTATTGGAAAAAAGGAGCCAGAGGACGACCCTTGATTCTTCCAGCAGCATTTAAATTTGGTGATGATAAAAGACTTGGTTTGTGCCTACACTGATAGACATCAACTGGAGGAAATAAGGTTTATGGGTTATAAATTTCCCATTTTATCATTACTGGCTGTCGTCAGACAGCTCACTTATAAGGCGGTATTTTAACCCCGGACGACTATGCGCGCTTTGTGTGGGGGAATGTTAGACTGCAGGCACAACGCATTAGAGGCCGAGATCTGTCCAGCACTCGGTAGAACTTAAGGATAAACAAGAAAAGCTTCATCAGAAACGTAAGCTTCATTCATTCAGCTAAGGGAAGAGTTTATTTTCGCGACGCAACAATTGGCCTAACTCTCATCGCAAAACTTAGCCTTAAGAAAATGTGCATTTTGGAACGGATCAGGGGAGAGCTATTGCACTATCATCATCCTCAGATCTGTCCAAGTCGTTAACACCACTTCATGCCATTAAACAACGACATGATAAAAGGCCGTTGAAAAATAACAGTGAGGTAGAAAAAGAGGTGGCTAGGGCTGGATTGTTTGAGCCTAGGGACAAGGGGCTATTTATGTTATTTCTCTCCACCTAATTAGTTAACTTAAAAATAGGCAATGATGGTCATTTTTGCCATTAAAGATGGATTTTCAAAAATTAACCTTCATAATTTACCGTCTATTTTATTTTCCATTGCCTTCGGCGAGTCGAGATTTTCTAACGCCTCCTCAGCCACAGTATTGATGGTGTCAGCCATCAACTTCATCAGAGCATTGTCAGCATAGTTGTCTACAAAGGAGCAAATTAAATATGCCTTGTGGTTATACTAGACTACAGTTCTTTCATTTTTTTCTCTGTTTAATTTACTGCAGACCCTTAAATGCTCCTTTCTGTATAATGAGCCTATATGACAACGAAATCGGAAGCACCGGCTCCAAGAAAATATTCGATTTTTCATTTTATTTCCATTTTAATCCTGGTGCGGGGTACCTACTATGCCTAAAAGACTCCTAATTGAAACCTAATTTGGGCGAAAAATTATCACTGTCTTTTACCTCATGTTATTGATAACAAAATTAAATAGGTTCTTAATTTAACAGATCACTGATTTTCAGACTTTTGCAGACCTATATAATAGCTGTTTCTAGACTTTGCAATATGAATTATAGGTTATTAAATCACCCACTTGTCTTTATCTCCTCAATTTCTCGTTTCCTCTGATTATTCAATTTTTCTACCACATCGGTCTCCACCTCTGCTTTTACCATCTCTAATGTCTCCTTCAACTTTGCATCGAGTTCTTTGCGAAGTATCTCTGTCAGACTGATACAGATGGCACCGTGACGATCTGCCAATAAGCGACAAAGAGCGGTGGAACCCGATTTTTGGAATCCCATCACAGCAATTCGTACCGTAAACTTCGGTTGGGAAATCTGAAAATCCAGATAGGGACGTGGATTTCGTATGAAGGATTTGAGTGCCTCCCGACAAGACAGGAAGTAGAGGTAGCCCAGGAATCTTTAAGAGAATTAGGGAAAGTGATGTTGTGAGATCGCAATAAATAAACGCAACTGAAATTGATTAAAGCCACACATTACTGCCGACAGTGAAGCCTTGTGACATGAAAATTTTTTGCTGTACATAAATGTGAAAGTGAAAGCAAGTGACACTAATTGATAATTGCCAACTTACCCACAGGCAAACTCTACTTTGCCGTACTCGAGAATTCCGTTGTAAAGCTGCACTGGGCAGAAGCGTTGCCACTCACTCATCTGCCATCGAGAGTGCTCGGTGGGCATTTTGCGGACCACTAACGTGGTGATAATCGCATCCCAATCAATCTTCTCTCCTTTGGGTTGCATATCATCATCGACATCTGCTTCATTTATCGCCCTGTCACCCATCTGTTTCTCGAGTGCCCTAGGCTCCGCCTCGGCTATCGTCCTATCCTCTTCTTCCTTTTCAGGCTCTTCTTCATCCTCTTCACTTTCATCTTCGGTTTTGAGTGACAGATGATAGGGTGGGATAGCGGGTCGGATGGATAGCGCTCGAACCTTTATCATGAGATTCTGCTCGAAAATATCAGGGAAAGAATGCGATCGTGTCAAGTCAAAGACTTACTAATGTATACTTAGAAATGGGTCCTATAAAAATCGACATATACGTTATACATAGTTAGTCTAGTTTAGTCAGGAAAGAATTCTTTAGGTTGACGGACATTTGGCAGCCGTAATGATAGAGACTCTGTAAAAGACCGTGGAAGTAACCACATTTTTTTGGGAAGACTTGTTATCTTAAGCCGTGAAGCTTTCAGGCACACTGAGGCACAATGAACACAAGGAATGCTTAGCCGGTGTTTTTTTTATAATTGTTCTATAGCTGGTCTTGCATCATCATCCTCCATAGTGGTCATTCCCGATTATAGGAAGCTGATCAATACACTACCAACATGCCATTTGACCTTACTGTGCAGGAAACAAAGCTCTTTGAGTTTCTGAGGCTAAATCGCGCTGGTATCAAAAGATTTTTAAAATGCATACTGCACGGGACTAAATTGACATTTTAACAAGGAATATCAATCAGGTATTACACCAGTAAAGACATGCAGATTTATTGCCGATAACTGAGTGAAAATAGGTTGTCTAGCACTCACATAAAACATCTGTGTTGGTGGACAGTTCCCATCAATTTTAATAACATGCGTCCTCGGAAACTTGCGTAGAAATTGCTTTAACGACTTTTGAACTTTGTTCTTATTGAGATTAAAGAGTCTATCAAGCTCGCGTTGAGAATCCTCAGGTAGAAAAAGAAGACGCTTGGTGACCTCTTTGGTAAGTCGCGGAAACTCGGGATGCCATGCTGTCAAATTTTCTTTACCATAGACTTCATCGATTCCTCCCTCCTCCATGAGAATGTCATCTATGTCGGGGATTTGCCCTTCTCCTTCCTCTATCATCGTCTCTGGGTTTGGATGTGGTGCTGCCGGAGATACAAGCTTTGTGAACGGACCTGGAGGATCTTCGAGATTGTAGTAGTTGTAAATGGTTCCATCAATTGGATCTATGCGCTGTGACTCGAGTCTTTTCCGCAGGTCATCATCAGGAATCTAAATAAAAAAGAAAAGAATTCTGTGAAATTATAAGTGCTTAAAAGTTGTGAAAAATTCAGCCCTTTATAATCCTGCACATATTTGGTCGTAGAAACCTAATGTTTTATTAATACGTATGTTCAAATAAGCCAAGGTTTTTAATTGCTGAATATCCACTAGATGGCATAACCTTCTAGCCAAGTTGAAAGATTTCCGATCCCTTCGTCCATGCCGATGTGAGGAGGAGCATTTCATATTTATTCTATCATAAAAGCAAGTCGCAGCCTTTTTGGTAATAATCTTTTAATATTAAAAAGTAAACTTTATCAGTCATGCTTTTTAAAGGAAACGCAACAATACTACCTCAATGTGAATGACGAAATCAGGCTTTAGCGCCAAGTTTTCAACCAGTTCTATTTGTTCATCAAAAGCTAAATAAGTGGGAAAGCTATCCATGACGTAGCCATAATGCTGACATTCGGGTAAGGATATAGCACCCTTTAGAAGGGCAACAAGCGTTTTGTTTGCTATGGTACGGCCAGACAGTAACTGTTCAGTGCAATATTTCCCAAGAAGTGTATTTTCTCGCATATTTTGTTCGATCAGTTCAGTAGCTACAAATGTTCCAATAAGTAGCTTAAGTTACCGTGAATATATTGACATCTCATTTCTTTTACAAGCCTTTTTGCAAGCGTAGTTTTGCCTGTAGAGGGGTTTCCGATCACCATAAAGCAGGCAGGCTTTTTCTGCAGATAAAAATCTCTCGCCTAAAGTTTTATTATATTGGTTGCAAAATTAAACCATCGTTCGATCCGCAAAATACAAGTCATTGTCCTTGTAAAAAAACTTTGGCTTAGCCTCCTCAAGTTGTACAAATGGGTGATTTGTTACGGGCATTTTTATTAAAAACCACACACATCTGAGAATTGCATAAGTGGCATTCTATGCTTACTAAAATCCCCACTCTATTCACGTTTTCCCCCACGACTCCGGTTTTCAAATCTACAATAGACACAGATGTCTTTGACACAATGCTTAACCAAGTAGGGCTTAATATTTTACTCAACATAATCATTATCAAGAATTTTTTGAAGGGATGCTGAAATATTTCGCAATATTGGCAAATCACACCAAAGACGACAAATGTTGCATAGGATCTTTTAAACGTCATATATTAAATAAAAAAAGTGTTGCATATTTAATTGTCACTCAAGGTTATTACTGTAAAGCTCAACGTTAATATTTGAATCTGTGGCGAGTCTGTTACCATGACATCAAAACTAGCACCTGTGCATTTTGGTTTCGTGATCTAGAAAAACTATTAAAACAATTAAATATGAGTGCAGGTACTTGTTATATTAAACCCAGGATGTAAAAATTAGTTTTAAACATATTAGTATGTGGGTGCCATCCAATACTTCCTTGCAATTTACGGAATAAATTACGTTTACCACCTTAGGTAAAGCATGGAACTTTCTTTAACCCTCATAATCCCGTCAGTTATAGAAGATATTCACAAGAGGCAAAAGATATGCTACTCTATTTTTGAAATCATAATTTCGTCACCGCCAAGCTCAACCGCATGCAATATTTCGTGAAACAGATCTCGTTTATTTTGAATAAGTGATATTAATTGCAAATTACGCTCTTATGGTGTCATGCACGTGGTCCCATTTCATTATATTTTTGGTCGAAATGTAAATCTGAAACGCTTTTATCGATAAGCAAATCAGCAATCCATAAAAGCATTGTTTTGTAATTTTAGGCGATTAAGGTCTCACATGATTAAAATCTGTATTATAACTTGCTGTTTAATTAATCAGCCTCAGTTTGTCTTCCAAACAACCGGATTTCTTTGGTTGTACTACATCTCCTCCCTGTAGATGTAACTGATCATGCTTGTGTGGAAAATATTGGCCGTCAGGGTGGCTGAAAGCGTGCAGCACCATATCCTCAGAAGAGTTCATTTGGCTATTTTTTAACGTCAATGGCGCTTAGTTTTAATTGGTACATGTAACCAAAACAACAAATTCCTTGCGCCTTACATGATTTCCCTATTTTTTTTGGAAAAATACATTTGAGGGGTATTCCTTCGAAGTGTGTGGATCAGTGCGCTTACATCGAAACAAAACCTCCATTTACTTTCGAATTCCTCATCGATCATTGCTGCTAGTAAACTTCAGGGTGGTTCCGATATTGAACTTATCATCAAACCAAAAACCTTTCCTTCCCAGAAACACTTTCGGTGATTACCCCTCCATCTGTCGTCGAACACCTTCAAAAAAAACACCTCAAAAAAGCGGCACTACAGGCTGCATCTCTTCCCTCAACATCAGCGATTTCGGCCATTTCCTCACCACCGTCAACCTAATAGGCGTGGCCTTTGCCACCTTCCTTATCTCCATCAAACGCGTCCGCACTTTCCTGCTGGAGTTCATACTGGAAAGACTGGAGGACATTTGTGCGAGTGGGCTAAATCTATTTGAGGTTGTACTCATGCATAAAAGCTGGCCCGTCTACAGCTACCCAAACGGTGCCGATTTGATCTCAGAAATAGTGACAAAGGTTAGGAGGCGAATAGCGGAAGCATCTAAAGCTGCTGCCTTAAGCTAAGCATCACATTTGTTCTTCTCTAGTTGACATTTTATGAGCAGGTAGCTAGAAGATGTCCTTACCCGAAAAGACAAACAAATGCAAAGAACTAAAAATTAAAAGTAAATCTTGTCGATTATTGGTGTGCCTTACTTGAGCCACTTTATCCAACTTTGGAGACTGGTAAAGTATGATGTTTGCTACCGTATTTGTGATAGTTCATGCCATTAAGGTTCGGTTTGGTGCGTCTAATGTAAAATCGAGTTCCGACAATCTGTCTGTATGTGATTTGGCTAATCAGCGAAACCGAAAGCTATTGTTAAGTTTCGAGACCTTCCAAAATGTCCTGAAGCTAGACATGAAGCAAGCCGCTTCTAAGGTTTCGATACAGGAACGGTTTAGGGTATAATAAACATCTTAAAAGACACCACAAATTTTACTCTTGTAAGAACATTGGCTGTGGGAAGGGAAGAACTTAGAGAGACACTTCCTATCCATATCCAGCGCCTTCCTTTGCATCCACCCAATCACATGCCGAATGGAAGTGAAGACTTAAATATATCAGGACGGGAACAAGACAAGGCGAATTAAAAAAGTGGTGTTCACAGTGGTTCCTAAATCCCATAAAGATATTAACTTATCTGAAAGAGTGCTCAAAATCGTCCAACTACCTAATTCCTCCTATTCCTTTATTTGTACTGTTTTCAATCCTTCTCACATCTTCTTCACTTTTCAGCCGAGCGAATTTACTTGTTTTTGTTGCTAAGTTGGTAACCCAATAATGTGCATTAGCTGAATGGATTGTGCACGATGAGTACAGAGCTAATTAAGGTCAAATTAACCTGGATATCAGATGGTAGATTTGTGTATTATTCACTTTTTTATAGTCTAAGAGGAAAAAAGATTACACCAGTAGCATTTCGTTAAATTAACTATTGTTCAGTGGCAGAAAAAAAGAGATCGGTCTCCTTAGATTACATGACTGGCATTCATGTCACAGAGGTGTGATGCAAGTGCTCAAGCAGGTAGAAGGGAAGCTGCGTAGTTTGATGTGCATATTAGTAACAGGCCGCACAACACCAATATACATTAAATTAAGTACTGCTCAAAGACATAAAAACACTTGGTCCTCCTTCGACTAAATCACAAATTTTCATTACACAAATGTGATGCGTAAGGGCTCAAGAAGGTAAAGCGGCAAAATGTGCACTTGTGGTAAGCAGAGTGGGCGAGTCATATACAGCATTACTAAGCAAAATTGGTCACTGCTTAAAAACCGTGATAGGGAATAATTTACGTAAGACTACATAACCAATCTTTGCGTCACCTG